CTGCCCCAGCTGAGCTGGTTCACCCCTGCCCCAGCTGAGCTGGTCCGCCCCTGCCCCAGCTGAGCTGGTTCCCCCCCTGCCCCAGCTGAGCTGGTTCCTCCCTGCCCCAGCTGAGCTGGTCCGCCCCTGCCCCAGCTGAGCTGGTTCCCCCCCTGCCCCAGCTGAGCTGGTCCTCCCCTGCCCCAGCTGAGCTGGTTCCCCTTGCTCCATAGACTCTGACGAGAAAACCCTCCCTGTCTGGGAGCTGGTGGACATTGCGTCGCAGGTGGCCGAGGGCATGTGCTACCTGGAGTCACAGAACTATATCCACCGGGACCTGGCCACCAGGAACATCCTTGTGGGGGACAACATCTGCAAAGTGGAGCACTTCGGGCTGGCCAGGCTCATCAAGGTAGGGCCCTGGGGGGCCAGCACTTGCGCTGCAGAGCTGGGGCGAGGGCTGGGGCTGCAGGTGCCCTGCCTGAGCAGCTCAGAGTAGGGTGTGCCCAGCACGGAAAGAGGGAGACAGGGCCATGGGGCCAGAGCAGGGATTCCAGGGAGGCTGATTACAGCTGAAAGGGAAGTGGCCCGCGAGGGGAGGGGTGCGCAGCCCGCCAGGGGCTGCAGCAAAGTGCTGTGTCCAGGACTGAGAATCTCTGGTGAGTGAGCGGGGTGCCGGGGGCTCAGCGGGGCCAGGATGCATGGTGTAGGCACAGGCAGGAGCAGGGACTCCAGCCACGGCAATGTCACTCACCCACTCCTTTACTGGCTCAGTCCCCACTGTGCTGGCTGCTTTCGGCTCAGCTGGGGCTGTGGCAGGCGCGGTCTGTGCAAAGGCCCCTAGCCCTCACGCCCACACGGAGGAAACTGTTTGATTCTGGGGAATTTCGAACACAAACGCCCACACAAGAGTGTGATGAACCCCGTGGTCCCTCCATGCCCTCTCTCCCTGGTATTTAAAGGGAAATCCCAGGTGTCGGTCGTTATTACTTCATCTGTCAAAGTCAGTGTCTCTGTAGAACTCTTAAAACCGCGACCACAGCGGTGCTGTCACACCGGGAAAACCAGTGGCTGTGCATGTGATGTCCCCATCAGCCCCACCGGCTGGCTGTGAGCTGGTGACACACACATCTGGTGGGCTTCCACCCACGGCAGCCACCCTCCTGACCAGTGGGCCTCACACTGGCCTGTATTTGGGGTCCTCTTTCATGACTCCAGGAGAGTCATGCTTTTCCCTGACCCTGGATGCCCAGCCTTGCCCCCCGACTTTGGAACACCCCAGAATCTGAGGAAGGCAGTGCCTCTGGTGGCACAGAGTGTTTCTGACTTCAGTCGGGTGATGCTGCCGTGTGGCCGGCACTGTCTGGTTGCGGGAGGGTATCTGCCTGTCCCATGACCACAACGTCCCCTACAAGCGGACAGCCCCTGAAGCACTCTCCCGGGGGCACTACTCCACCAAGTCAGATGTCTGGTCCTTCGGGGTTCTCCTCCACGAGATTTTCAGCAGGGGTCAGATACCCTACCCAGGTACTGGGCCCCATACCCAGGTACTGGGCCCCACGGTGTCCCAGATGGTAGGCAGGGCTGGAGGGGGCAGAGTGGAGTGCAGGGGTGGGCTGCCAGTTGGCCAGATGACTGGGGTGATTCCCATGGTGGCCTCCAGGGGGTGCCGGCATGCCTGATGTCACACCCGCCTGTTCAGCCAGCGTCCAGGAGTGCCCAGCCAGTCCCCTGGCCTCAGGGCTCAGAGATGGCCCAGGCCCGCCTCCCAGGAGAGCACAGTCCTGGGGGAGGGGTTAGCAGCAGGAAAAACACGGGTGTGGACGTGCTGGGGGGCACCGGTCCCTCTCGTCTGCAGGCATGTCCAACCACGAGGCCTTCCTGAGGGTGGATGCCGGCTACCGCGTGCCCTGCCCCCCGGAGTGCCCATCACCGTGCACAAGCTGATGCTGGCCTGATGGCAGCGGGACCCCGAGCAGAGGCCCCGCTTCCGAGCCCTGTAGGAAAAGCTCTTCAGCTTCGCCAGGCTCTGAGCGTGCCTTGCCCCTGCGTGGCCCTGTGATGGGGGCAGGGGGGCTTGGGGCCTGAGCAGCTTGGGAGAGGTGGCCAGGACCTCGGATCAGAGGACACAGCCGTCAAGTCCCCTACTGAGTTTGCCGGAAGGAGCCACAGCTCTGGGACCAGGCTGGTGGAGCCCACAGACCCTCCATGGACCCCCGTTTGTTCCAGTGTGCCAGCTCCCGGGAAGTGCCTGCCCTCCCCAGCCAGTCCAACACCCAGGGGGCAGCACAGCTGGTACTCTCCTGGAGCCAGCGGACCTGTCTCGGTCCTGACCCGAAGCCCCTGGCTTCATCGGGACAGGGCAGACCCCTCCTTTGCACAGGCTGGTGGGGCCTGGGCCCTGGCCCAGATGGAAGGGTACCTCTCCCGTCACCAGGGGCTCTGCCTGCCCTCCTGAACTTCAGAGACAATTGTGTGCAGGGGGCGTGGACCACACCAGCCCCCTCTTCCAGAAACCAAGGGGCCGTGGGGCGGTGGGGCGCTGCCGCCTCCTGCCGCCAGGGCCTCCGTGAGCCTCGTCTGGACACTTGTGGCCAAACTGTCCTCAGGAGCACCCCCAAGCCCTTCCGAGGGGCAGTAAGGTCCCTTCCTTACCTGGCCTTGCAACTGGCCACCAGGCACCTGGGAGCAGCCACAGGGAGCTGGGGTGAGGCCACCCCTGCTGCACTCCACTCTGTGGCTGGACATGCTTTCCGTGGCTGGACACGCCTTCCGTGTATTCAGACGCAGCTGTTCAGAGTGCGGGTGGGGGTGGGAAGGCAAGCAGCCCCCTCTTCCTGTGCCTCCAGACCTCACCTCAAGCCCCACCTCCTCAATAAACAGCCCTCTCCTAGGGCCCCTGGGGCCCACCAGGCCTGGTCCAGCCCTTGCAGGGAGCCATGAGGTTTGACCAGGGAGCCCATCGTCCCCCCTCGGTCTTCACTGGGGACATGCAGTGACGCTTGGCCAACTGGCCAGAAGAGCAGGAGCCCCTACCCACCTGAGTGCCTGTGTGCCCAGTGGTCACTCACAGGGCCTTGTGCCCACCTCAGGACCTGCCTCTCTTGGTGCCCTGGGGTTCAGGGATCCAGAACCCCCCACAGCTCTCTGTACACTCTGACCTTTAGGCTGGGATCTGCAGTGGGAGGGGCCGCTCTGGGAAGCCCCAAGTGCTCACACCCTACCTGCCCCTCAGCCCATCTCGGGCAGCTGGGGCCACGAAGCAGCGTATGTTCCACAGGGGCTCAAGCAGGCAACACTCCTCGGAAGCAACAGGAGACAGCGCGGCCCAGCCCTCAGCTGCACATGGCCAGGCTACATGGAGCCAGGCCTGGCGGGGCTCACCAAGGTCATTTGAGGGCACCCAGGCCCCTCTGGCTGAGGGTTCAGGGACCCCAGGCAGCCCCACCTAGTGGGCACAGGGGCTGGGGGTCAAGTCACTTACAACCAGCTCCCTTTACTGCAGGGTGGAATGATTTCTGGGCAGAGAGACTGCCCCCGCAGTGAGGCTCCTGGTGGCAGAGGCTACTTCTCCCCAGATCTCCCTGCAGGAAAACCTGTCAGATGGAGCCTGAGGCAGACCCTGCTGGGGGAGCCCCCAGCCTCAACCAGGAGTTGAAGATTGTTTCGGTTAACCCTCCCACCATGCCCTTGGGGTGACACGGGCTCATGGATACACACAGTGGTCCCAGGGGTGACGGGCTTGCACCCATGCACGCACACATGCAGACATGCAAACACACAGCAGCCCCTGGAGACAGGTACACACATATACACACACGTGCAGACGTGCAAACCCGCACACAGCAGGCCCTGCAGACAGGTTCTCTCTCACACTCACATACACACACGTGCAGATACACAAACCCGCACACGGCAGGCCCTGCAGACAGGTTCTTTCTCATGCACATGGCAGGCCGTGGAGACAGGTACACACAAACACACACACACACACACACACACACAGACACAGCAGGCCCTGGACACAGGTACACACACGGCAGGCCCTGGGTGACACATGCATACACATCACAGGCTGCTGGCGGCTTCAAGTTTATTTCCACTCGGTGCAAGGCAGACGGTTACGGGGTGTCGGGAAAGCTTGCGAGTGACTGGACAGTAAAGAGTGGCATTCTCTTGACTTCTTTTTGGTGTTTTGCTTTTCTGATATTAAAAAAAGAACCAACCACTTCTCCACTTAGAGCAGCCTGCCTAGTCTACGGGGCGGGCAGGGAGGGGCTCTGACGCCTGGCGCCTGTGCAAGCTGCCGGGGGTGGTGCCCATGTGGTGACCATTCAGGAGGGGCCTGGCGCTGGTGTTGCCGGCGGGCTGCCAGGCTGCTTCCCAATGGCGCCCTGAGCCAGGTCACAGGTGATCATGCCGCTGGAGGTCTGGAGAGGTCCCGAGCTCTCTGGGGACTCCAACACAGTGGCCATGAACGGGACAGCAGATTTCCCGAAAAAGAAGCTTGCCCACCAGTGGCCCGGGTCAGCCTTGGGAAGCCCTGCGAGAAGCAAAGGGGAATCAGGGTGCGACTGCCCCACTCTTGGGGCCCCTTCAGATGGCTCCCTGGCACAGGAGTGGCTGCCCCGGACTCCAGCTGGGGAGCTGCGGGTGGCTGCACTCACCTGGGTGGTGGGGGATGGCTTCTCCAGGGTACTCAACACTTCCACAGGAGCTGTTACTGGAAGTGGACCCCAGGCGGCCTGGGGAGGAGAGGCTGGTCAGTACAGCTGGGGCCTCTGCCGGCACAGCCCTGCCCACCAGCCTTTCAGCCACTGGCTTTAACTGGCAGTACAAGGGGCAGTGCCAGGTCCTTGGCAAGGTGCCCCATTCCAGGCGGGGGTCTCAAGGAGATGAGAGAGTGGAGGGGCACCAGATAGCTGGGTGGGCGGCCTCTGTGCCTGGCCTCGGGGTGGGGGGCCAGGTTGGAAGGGTTGCCCAGGCCGGCAAAGGGCCCTACTCACGCCGGTAATAGTCGTGCGTAGCCACGAGCGAGCCGCTGGAGGGGATGGCTGCCATGCTCTTGCTTTCGGCCTGGTGGAAACCTGCACGCGTGGGGGGCTTGTGACCAGGGTACCCGCTCAGCCAAGGGCGCTCCCCACGGGCGGAGCCGCCGGATCGACCCCCGGGGCGGGGCGGGCGCGCCGACAGCTCCGGGTTGTTGACAGAGTCGGGCGGGGCTCGGGGCCCGCCTGCCC